ACGGAGCGTTCACGAGTCGTTGGCCGAATCTTGCGAAGGTCGGCCTGCACGAGAACATCCATCATTGTAAGTGAGTGTGAGAGTGAGCAGGTTAGTGATTCCGACGATGGCAATTCAGGTGCCGGGTCTGTCTCTGAAGGAAGTTCAGAGTCCGGGTTCTGTTATGCCAGGACAAGTTTAATTGACTGAATGCAGATCCGCTCGGAAAATGACTCGGCGGCTTTGTGCGAATGACAGTTAGGTGCATCGGACAACCATATGACAGTAGCATAGCTGACATTCGACAGTAATGATTTGACATGTTCCCTAACGATTCATGTGTGGAATATTTGCCTACATTGGGGTGATTTATCTGGTGTTTTTAATATGTGTTTGGTACTATGTGACAAAATCCAGCATTCAGTTGCACCATGCCCTTCATGAAACCACGAGGTCATCGAAGCTCATGTTTCGCCGCGCACCAAAGGTGCACCTCGAGCTCAAGCCCTTTTTAGCAAAAGTCCGCCCTGCAGTGCACTCGCAAGCATTGCAGTGAGTTGGTAGCGGAGCCCCAAAGTGGGCTACCGCGGGCTGTTTAGCCCGACCTTTCGCCTGCCGATCCCATGGCCTTTCCACGAGCAGCTGGACGACCGCATGACCTTGGGGAGATGACAGATTCCTCCCTCCTGGAGTCGCAACCGCGCTTGCAGAAGAGGCCGCTGCCTGACGGCGATGAGCCCGCTGACCGAGGCACCACTGCAGATGATCCACCTCAGACCTACCGGATGGACACCTCATCGCAGAGCTACGAGTTCACGGACACCCCAACCGACATCTCCGTGCACTGGGTATGCCGGAACTGTGGTCATGACGGCTTCCGCCTCGACAGAGGGCAATGGCACTGCACCGAGTGCGGCCAAGCGGACTACCGCGCCAGCACCGGCGCTGATGGTCATGCAGGCTGGACGTATGTTCCCCGGCCTTCGGCCGCCCAGCAAATCTATGAACGAGCCCAATACGACACCCGATCCATGACGACTCCCTTCAGGACTACACCAATGTGGACTATGCCCACGGGTAGCTACCAATGTGGCTATCGTGACGGTCGAGGCGCTTCACGGCTACCTCATGGTACTGATCCTGAACCCCATCGATTACCAGGTCATCATCATGCAGAACGCCCACGGCGTCCTCCAGGACTCCATGGAGCACCAGATCCTGTACCGCCTGATGGCGAAGGGCCCCTTGGTTCTGAGCAAGCCGAGAGCGAGGCCTACACTTGGGACCCAACTGTCACTCCTTCTGAGGTGAACCAACATCAACGACCTCAACCTCGACTTCATCAACGAGGCGCTCCTGCTGACCCATCTGGTGACCCTGATGATCCACCTGACGCTCAAGCAGCAGCTGCTTCACCTGGAAACGGCTCAAGACCATCAAACCGGCGAAGCCGAAGAGGTGGTTCTCGAAGATCGAGTGAGCCGGAGCCGAACGAAGTGATCACCCTCGAGGACATCAAGCAGAAGAAGAACGACACCTCATCCTCGAGCAAGACTACATGGAACACCTTGAAGGGGCCCCAGCCCGGGGTCAAGTTCAGGGGCGGCGCCGTTCCTTCGGCGCCTCAATGGCACTATGAGAAGGGTGACTTGCGCGCCTACCAGAAATGGGAGAAGCGCGTTCGCATCTGGATGCTGCAAGTCCAGAACTATGTCCCTGTCCGCGAGACTGGAATCCTCCTCTTTCAGTCATTGAAAGGGGAACTTGAAGAAGAACTTGAAGACGCCCCTGTAGACAAGCTGTTCTCCAACGAGGGCGTGGACTACATCCTCGAGGTCGTCCGCAAGGCTGTCGAGACCCGCTCGGTCCATGTGAAGAGAAAGGTGTTGGCTGACTACGAACACATCAGCCGAGCACCCACAGAAGCCATGAGGCCCTTCATCAACCGATACCGGAGGGTGGAACGCACATTGTCCACCCTGGGCATCAACTTGGAGCAGATGTACGACTCCGAAGCTCGCGGAGCCCGCCTGCTGGAGCGTGCTCGCTTGAGCCACGAACATCAACGACAAGTCCTCACCGGCGCGATGCAAACCCTGGACTTCGACACCGTGAAGGATGTGATGATGTTCCAGTGGCCGGACCATCGACCGGTCCCTCCACCTTTGTCCAACCTTCCTGATCAACGACCTTTCCATGGAAGACCCAAAGGTGAAGGTAAGGGCAAAGGGAAGGACCAAGCTCGACAAGTTCATCAACCTGTCCGGCGAACCTACATCACGGAGAATGACCAAGCCCCTGAGAATGACAACGACCATGGAGGATGACCCCCTCGATGGCACTCTGGACTTTGAGCCTGAGGTCAACGAGGATGATGACGCAGCCGGCGATCCCGCCGAGCAGGACGATGATGAGCAACCAGATGATGATGATGATTTGGGCAGCCAGATCAACGAGATCATGACCGTGACGGCACGCAAACTGGCCTCTGTCATTCAGACCAGAAAGTTTGGCAATCCACCAGGTGCCAAGAAGTCGATCGAAGACCGCAAGAGGACATCTCATTGCGCTGCCTGCGGACAGGTTGGACACTGGAAAGGTGACCCTGCCTGTGCGGCTTCATCGACCAAAGGCTCCAACAAGGGCCAATCTTCTGATGGCGGCAAAGGTGGCAAGAACCGACCCTTTGCCAAGAGCGTGCACTTAATGAGTCACCACTACCTCACCGACGATGAGGAAGCAGCTGATGATGCAGAGCCTAGCCATGCCTCGCACCAGGTTTTTGTGGCTTCCACTCCAGGCCATGAGCGCCATGAAGTTTATTTGGCCGACGCCACCCGAGCAGCCGGCTATGTCATTTTGGACACTGCGTGCCAAAGAATGTGTGCGGGACAGCTCTGGGCCGACACCCACACCACCAAGTTGAAAGCATGGGGACTTGCACCTGTACACCTTCCTCAGCCTTCCTCTACAAGAGTTGTTTGAGTTTGGCAAGGGCCCCACGGTCAAGTCAGAGTACATCTACTGTTTTCCAGCAGGTTTTGGTGGGCAAGTTTGTGTTTTGGCACCCTGCATCCTTTCAGCTAGCATCCCGTGTTTAGCCTCTCAACCATGGATGACCGACGTCGGCACCGTGATCGATTTGGCCGGTCGGCAAGTTGTTTTTGGAAAGTTGAATGCAACAGCACCACTCCTCATGATCAATGGCCACATTGCAATCGATGTGATGCAGTTCAAAGTTTTTGAGCATGTTCATTTGTGGCACTCATTTTCCAAAGAGCTTCAAGTCAAGGGCATGACCACTGAGTATGCACCGCTTCTTCCAGATCAAGCCCTTGACGACGACGTGTGTGACGCACTGGTCACAGCCCATGCAGGTGGACCGTCCTTCTCCTCCGCAATGGCTTCGGAGCTGGCGCCACTTGGTCAAGCGGACGATGGAGTGGGCACGCCGCGCCCAGAGATTCCTGCTGACGCCCCTGGCTATCTCATCGACTCCCTCAACGGCGTGTCCAAAGAGAAAGGCAAAGGCCAAGGCGGCCCCGGCGGTTCTTGCAACAACACCACCGGCAGGACCAGCTTGCGATCATCGCCACATCAAGCGGTCCGGAAACCGCCACGGCTCCTACGCCCAGTGCATGGAGTGCAAGAAGAAATGGAAGTGGAACCCCGATCGCCAAGGTTGGGAGTACTTCGTCACAGCATCGGGTTCCTCACCGTTGCCACTGCCTTCCTCCAGCACTGTTGTGGACGGATCCTGGGAGATCAACCGACGCCAGGCGCTGCTGGACTATCACCAAGGTCCTTTGCCTTCGAGCTTCCCTCCGATGCCGGAGACAGCAGTTTTGGCAGCCGCTACGCCCAAGAGGCAGCAGCATATCAAGCCCAGTCAGGCATCTCGGCAAACGGCAGGCTACTTGCAGCCAC